CGTGGAAATATCACCGCTGCTATGGTTACATGATAAATCGCGCCTTTTGCAATCGGTTTGATATTTCATTGGTGTTTATATAATAAACAGAACATTACATGATCGCTTGGAGATACGAAATTTCTCTTTGAGTGTTCAAAAATATCAATATTAGCTCTCAAATACGGGACGCAATATAACAAGTATTCTCTGCAACTGAGTAACTATTCTCGCAAAGAAAAATCGTGTGGCACCTTCATTTTGTTAACACAACCAAAAAAACCAAAAACTTTATTAACGATTAGATCCTAACATGATCGCCAAATGAGTATGGCATAAAAGGAGTAAAAACTAATTAACAATGATTAGGACTTCAAAAAAGCATATGAGAAAAGAAGCACTGTAAAACTTTCAGCTGTTTCCTATTTTAAGGAAAGATTTCATTTCTAGTCTAAAAATGAAACATAAACAATATTTATACTTGTTAACATAGTTTTCAACCACATGCACCAGTAATAAGGCCAAGAATTTGAAAATAGAATGTAGTGTCACACTTATGAAAAAAAGTTACTAAATTAGATAACACTCATCCCTTCACTATCTTCCATCTGAAATATATACTGATCAAATTTTAAACTGATAATACAGGTAATCCCAAACTGTTACAATATCGGGACACTTGTAATAACCACAACAACTTTTCGCCTAGTCGCGTTCCTTCTCTAGCTATCCGCAATTGTTTTTAAGTAAACTAGTTCTTGTGTTTCATTACCATAGACAGATAAACATTAACAACAACAGCGAAAAATATAACTCTGACAAAAAAGGACAACTAAATGCCCCCTACCCATAATTGCTCTTCTTACACTCGTTTTCAAACTCCATAGTCAGTTTGTCCAAAAAAAGCCAAGAATCTCAATGAAGGGTCTTTGCACTCAAAATTTCTCCACAGAACGGGCGATTTGTAACATGGTATGACTTTGTTGCATGCGACAAGCTTACGACAGGCCTACGACACGAATTGTGTCATGCACCAACCTGCAAGTCACTTATGTTTGTGTTTCACAGTGAACACGCCATTTTGAGAAAAGCTTCCAGCTCCAGAGCAAAAACTTGAAACTCTTCATCCTCTGTGCCTGTATCTTTCAGGAAAGCTCTGGACAGGTGATCTGCCACAAACATCTGCGTTCCTGGTTTATAGACCACTTCAAGGTTGTATCTCTGTAGCCGAAGCATCATTCTTTGGAGATGGCTTGGCGCACACAGAAGTGATTTCTTGAATATTGACTGCAACAGCTTATGATCTGATTCGACTGTGACTTTCTCTCGTCTTGTGATGTACTGTGAGAACTTTTGGCAACCGAACACAATGGCCAGACATTCTTTCTCTATTTGTGCGTACCGTTGTTCAACTGCAGACAGTGTTTGCGATGCGAAGGCAACTGGCTGTCCGTTCTGGAGAAGTGTCGCACCAAGACCTCGCTCGCTGGCCTCGCACTGAATAGTAACCTCGTCATTGATGTCGTAATACTTGAGTACTGGATGGTTTGCTACCAACTTCTTCACTTCATCGTACACCTTGTTGTGTTGCTCAGACCACATAAACTGGGCGTTGGTCAGGGTCAGATTTCTCAACGGCTGTGCTACTTCAGATAGTCTTGGTAACAATTTGGCCAGATAGTTGATGAAACCCAGTAGTCTCTTTCTTACATGTTGGCTTGGGCATGTTTTCCACTGCATTGACTTTGTCTGGATTTGCTAATAACATGGCCCATGAACTTAACTTGGGGTTTCTTCAAGTTCATCTTCTTGCTGTTCAGCTTGAGTTTGACTTCTCTGGCTCTGTCTAGGAGTTTTCTGAGGTTTTCATCGTGGTTGGCATCAGCTTCTTCCTGGGTATCTCCATATCCAACTACTAGTATATCATCTCGAAGAATTTCGACGCCTTCTAATCCGGTAAGCTTTTCGTGTAGCTTACACTCAAACTCCTTGGGAGCCACGCTAATACCAAATGGCATTCTTAGATATCTGTATCTGCCAAAGGGAGTCCAGAAAGTTGTTTTCTTACTGCTCTCTTCATCTAATCCGATCTGATAGAACCCATCTTTCACATCAAGTGTGGTAAATACTTTCCCTTTGCTGAGTTTTGGGAGTATGTCTTCTAATGTTGGCATCTGGTACTTAGGTCTCTGGATTGCCTTGTTCAGATCTCGGGGGTCGAGACAAATTCTTATCTTTCCTGGCTTGGACACGATGACCATACTGCTGATCCAATCTGTGGGGTCGGTAACCTTTTGAATGATGCCTTTCTTCTCCAACTCTGCGATCTTCTCCTTGACTTCCTTTTGTAGAGTTACAGGTATCCGCCTGGGCACGTGCTGCACTGGGGGATGGTTTGGGTCGATAACAAAGGTGCTGGACTCTCCTATGTGACCAAGTCCTTTGAACACATCTTTGTAGTCAGCTAGAATTTTCTCTCTGTTTAGTGGGACACTAGACTTTACTGGCTCTGTACCCATACTGTTTACTTGCGCTGTACCTGTTAAGGAAAGCTTCAACAGTCCCAGCTTCACACATGTTTCCGCAGATAAAAGAGGCTTGTTTACAGTCTCAACAATCTGAAAGTCCAACTCTTGGGTCTTATTGTCTCGATGTATCTTTAAGGTGGCTACACCAGAAGGCTTCATGAGAGAACCGTCAAACAACTTGAGCTTCGCTTTACTACTTCTCAGTGGTGGATCTCCTGTTTGGCTTATGACAGCCAGGTCGCGCAGGCTCATCACGTTACATGTGGCACCGGTGTCTAGCTGGCATTCCAATTCGGTGTTGTATAACTCTTCTGTGTCTGAAAAGATTATCTTGGCGTTGAGTTGCTTGCCTGCCGTCTTCATGCTGGAGACTTCAATTTTAAAGAGTGGATCTTCATCATCGGTCAAATCATCATCAGAGTCACTGGACGTATCTGTCTCTTCGGTGACTTGCTTCACGCTTTTGTGTCCTCTGGATACTGTCTTTCCACCTGCTGGCTTGTTTTTAAAGCGACAAACAGATGCGAAATGATTCGGCTTCGAGCACAGGTGACAGGTTTGACCATATGCTTTGCATTCTTCTTTCCTATGGCTATGTTGCTTTGTTGTTCCGCATCTGCTGCAATTCTTCTTCACGCCCTTTGTAGCTTTTCCATTCTTTCCATATTTTGCGTCTTTCTTTTGATTGTGCCGCTTGTTGAGTCGTATCGCTTGACTGTCCACAGCGTTGACTTGCTCATCTGTTTGGATTTCCTCCTGTTTCATAAACTTGAGCTGTTTGGAAGCCGCTTCATTAGACCTGCAAATACTGAGAGCTTTATTCAGGTCCAGTTCATCTTCTTTGAGTAGCTGTAGCTTTGAATCTTTATCTCAGACGCCTATTACGATTCTGTCTCGTATCATCTCATCTGTGAGCGCGCCATATTTACACGACGAAGCCATCTTTCTCAATCGATTTACAAATTCGTCTATTCCCTCTTCGGAACTTTGTGTAGCTTAATTAAACAGAAATCTCTAATAGACCACATTTGTTTTTGGCTTGAAATATGCTTCCAAAGCTTTTAAAGTGGAGGTCACGCTTGCCTTTTCTTCCAGAGTCAACTCTAGTTTTAAAAATGTCTCAAGACAGTCTTTCCCCATGACTGAGCGAAGGGTTGCTAAACGAACTGGTTCTGGACAATGTTCGAGACCAGTGCCAAGCTCGTAGTCTTGCCATTGCTGTCGAAAGAACTCCCAATTTGTGACTCTGTCGCCGGATATTTTCATTGGGCTTGGAACTGGAAAGTTCGAAGTAAAATTCAAAACTGGAGCGCTTGGAGCGCTCGGCGCTTGTTGTCCTGACGAAGTTTTGTCGGGTGGAGGCATGTCTTCTTCGTATTTCATCTTGTTTTCTTGTAACTCTGTTGCCAAAGTGCTTTCGTCTTCTTAGACCTGCGTTTTAACGGCCTTTTGTGATGAGTTACGACGACTTTTACAGTTGCAAAGACCCTATTTTGCCTTCACTACACAACTGAACACACTCAAAGGTTGAGGCATGGGCGCGTTGGTCAGCTAGGCCCAAGATAT